GCGGTGTGGGGCTGTTTATCTGTACAAGGGTGTGCGCTGGTATTTGTGCAGGTGAATTGCGTCTATATGTGTTGGCATGTAAGAAGGGGTATAAGTATTGTTTGGTTTAGTCAGAGTTTAAAAAAAAAGTGAAAATCAAAGGAAAAAATTATTATATTATTAATTATTTTTGTTTTAATGATCTTGTGCATTAGCAGTTTACTTGCGTTTTCTCCACATTTTCTCTTTCGCTGTTCCAGTTTATTCCTGCCCTCTTAAAGGATGGAGCACAACAATGGATGAAAACAAAACCCTGGTGAAATATATATAGCACCTTATATACCTTTTTTTCATAGAAACTGTAAAAATTGAATATGATGATTTTCAGTTAATCTCTTGATTATATTTTTTTATTAACTGGTTAATTGTTTTTTTAAAAAAGCCATTATAGTGCGGAGCTTAAGGTGATGTCTTCAAATGTCTTCTTTTTGTCCAACCAACACTGTAAAACACAAAGATATACTGTACATCTATATACAAAATGGAAAAGTGTTAAATTATTGTCTGAAAATATTTAGAATTTTTTCCTGATAACAATTATTTGATTATTAAAATTGTTGATGATTCATTTTCTAACTAATGGATTCATTGTTTCAGCCCTATTAGATACAAAGACCAACACAGAGATGAATGTACATGGGCACAAGTCAACACAAACGCATGCAGGACGACATTCTTAGAAAGAGGTATATCCCTGCCAGGCTTTGTGCTAAAATCAGAATATGACAGTTGAAATTATGACAGCCCGAGGGTCATGTAATACACACAACCTCTGCGCCGAGCTGCACTGGGAAGCATTTTCCCTGTGCCTTGAGCTTATTTTGCATGCAGACATCTCTGTGCGGCCCTGCAGAATGACCTTGCGCTGGCTCGTCCACTTGCCTGTCCCTTGATCCAAATTAACTTTGCTGTTTTGGACCCTTCTTTTTGAAAGGGGCCACCATTGCTCAGCTCTAAGCCGATCTGACGGTCTGTCTCTCTTGGTCAGTAATTGTTATTTGAGATAAGAGTTTTTACCCTGGAGGGCAGATTTAGTATTTTTGGAGTAGCCGGATGCTCCGCTGGCTCATTGCATCTTGCCGCGTCTGCAGGTAGACGTGCAGTGATGTCATCGATGACATTTCAGTAGGAGGAGTACGCTTCAAGCCCTCAAAAGGGGCCTAACCTCTTGACATGGACCTCGCAACAGGATCAAATTAAACCTGATTCTTATTGCTGTAGTTATTAGATTTGTATGCACCCGAGGGCTTGTGCTCTCGCTCCTGGTCTACACAGTAAAACTTCACATAAATAAATAATGAGTACCAAGTCAAATTGTTGTTTACATCTGAGGCAAGAAAATGGTCAGATTTAGAAGATAGAGAAGATATTGTACGGTAAATAATATTCTGTATTTTTAAACAACATTTCTTTTATTTAACCTGGAATGATTACATCTTAAAATTGAGCCATTTTAAAATCCAGTCATAAGACTTTGACATATGATGCTTAATAATGACATACAGTTTTAATGGAGACTTAAAAAAAGGCATCATTAAGTTCCCATCACTCTATTCACGTAAGCAAATACTATACATAATATATACCAAAGGATTTATATGTCGTGCAGCTCTAATCTTATCTTCATTGCAGCAGCTGTCTGGTTTATCTGCACTCTAAAACACTCTGATCTAAATGCACTGTGTTCGGCCCCGTGACCCCTGAAAGCCCTAGGGTCAGACTGATTGGAGAAGAGAGTCACGTGTTGGTCTAGGTCGTCAGTGTCATAACACCACACTGATTGGCTCAGATCCGGTGGGGAATCTCCAGTTAGGGCTCACTTATTGAAACTATGAGTAGCTGGCGACAGATTACAGTCCTGTGCCCCAGCTCTCTCTCTCTCTTACAATCACACACACACACACACACACACACACACAAACACATGTAGATCTATACATTTTCTGTATGTGTCTCTCGGTCTCAGCTGACCACATATGTGAATGAATGATTGATATTCCAAAGGCAGGGCTCCAGGGGATTGACTGAGTTTATGTCCAGCTTACCCTGTAGTCCCTTTGCTTGATTGGCAGTTTCCTCTTTCAGTGGAACAGAGTGGGCGGCAGGAGGAGGGCTTGATGGGGTAACAGTGGCATTTTGCATCTCACATTTATGATGTGTCACCCTGCATTATACTGCACGTGCATCTCAGTCATTTATTTGATATTCCTCTCAGACAGGTTTTGACTCACAGTAAGGGTGCATCAGTCCGAGTCACATTTGAAAGCATTGTTTTTTTTTTGTTTTTTTTTTTAAATTTGGTTGTAGTTGACTCCTTCACAGGATGTCACTAAGCATTTAGCTAACCTTAAGACTCGTCACAATATTTGCATCTATTGTGTATGGGACAGTATACTTTTACAAAGTTGTGTTTCTGCACAAAAGAAGTAACACATGGTTGTGTTTGAAAGTGAAATGATTGCAGCAGTGTGACCCCTCCTGCATGTGCTTATTGATCCACTGTCATTTGCAATTGCAAGGCATCAGACAACTCGGCACAGGGGTGGCACTATTGCTAGTGTTTGATTTTCTCATAAAGCTTTAAAATTACATTAAAAAACATACTTTGAGGTTTTGAATTGAAAGAAAAAAAATCTGCTACAAAATGGCAATTATAGCTTGAGTGGAATCCTGTTGTGACGATATCAACGTATTGTGTTATTGTCTTGCAAACGTCTGTTCAAATGAACAATTCCACATCTGAGGACTTCTGTCTCATGTGATGCACAGCAGCTGAACACAGTTCATTGCATTAAACATTAGTTCATTTCTTTTGTGTGTTTTGCATTTCAAATAGCGTGATATCAGAAAATATAGTCATGCCGTCCAACTGTTCAGACTTCCGCTGTCACTTTGTAAGAAGTTGAAATATGTGACAGTTTTTTTTAACAATTCACTGTCCTTTGCTTATACTCGGGATAATGGACAGTGTATGATACAGCCATTAGCCTGTCACAATGGAGCTATCCCACACTGGAACTGTGTTCCCTTCTGTTATGATCATTTTCATGCTATCTCGGGCTCTCGCTTTGTTTCCTGTCTCGGAGGGAACGGCTCGCATGAGTCTTTGTGCTCGCTGAAAGGCCTCGCTTCCAAGCAGAATATGGTGTAGCATCACACTCGCTATGCCGAGCCTCGTCCCCCATGGAAGAGAAATAATTTATAAAATGAAAACTACATTTGTTGTGTAAATGACCACATGCTGTAGGATATTTAATCCTGCCTGCAGTCAATCCCAGTCATGTGACTTGACCTAGTTTTTTCTTCCTCCCTCTGCCTGTCTCTCCTCGTTTTCTCTCTTTTCATTCTCTTTCTCTCTCTCTTTCTCCCACACTCTCTAAGCATTGCTTTGCACTCCTGTTCTTCCACTATACCTCTTTCCCTCTCATTTCTCCCTCTTCTTTCCCTCTCCATTCATCTCCCGGTTGTTTGCTGCCTGTATATCTGTTCCGTTTTTTCAAGGATTTGTCTTTTCCTCCTGGTGTGTTAATATCTCTGTGTGGCCAATAACTCTGTCCTTGATCATGTACTGAATAGAAACCAATTTCAAAACTAAAGATGATAAGTGACAATCACTTATAGAATGACTGCTGGTGTCACAGCAGAATGTGGGTTATAACGGAAGTCACGAGTAATCTCGTCATCCTTGAGTTCCTGAAGATTTTTACCCACAAGACAGTTAGGTCCTACGCAGAATCATTTCAGCGTAACCGAATGCTGAATATTGAGGAGGTCAGATTTTACTTTTGCTAGCACCCTTGTATTTCTGTTTTCAGTAAGCAGCTTTGTGGGGAATCTCATAGAATTTTTTGTATTTGGGTTTTCTTTTCTCCTTGTCTTTGTTTGGTGTCCTTACACTCTGTGAGCCAACACATTTCAGTCTGTTAACTTGTTTAACTTGTTAAGTTTTTTTTAAATTTAAAATCGCTTCCTGTGATTTGAATCTCACCCTGTCAGAGTCAGAGTTAGAAATATGTAATATATTACATAGTAATATAGCATATTAGTAACATGAATGATTTGATAGTGTACTTAAACTTCACAGTGTCCCTTTTTATTTTACTTTGTTTGAGGAATGCTGTTCATGTGAATAACCCACCAAATGGTAATTAGGGCTCAAACTATAATATTGTGTGTTGGAAGGAATGTCCGTTCTTGAATCCGAGGAGAGGAAGAAATCTTCCAGTCCTTAAAGTTTTAATGTGTGTTTGCTTTTAAGAGTACTTCCTCACCGTTGTGTGTTTGGGGCTCCGTGCCACTTCCTACAGCCACCTGCAGTTTGATAAACTCTGAATGGCATCAGGCAAATTATCTCCATTTTAATATGTCACAAAGAATTGGGGGGGTAAATATGTATGTAGTATAATAATGTATGTACGTATGCATTAGTGTGCTTTGCAAAGCATGCATTTTTGGTGAATCTAAGAAGAGGATATATAGTAAAACAGATAGGCTAGGTAAATAGCTTGATGTCCCTGCAAGAGCAGCTGCAGCCTGCTGGGCACAGTCTCAAGTGTAACAATTTGGTCGCCTCTTGGAATGCATGGCATGTATCCATTCCTGAAGAGCACAAGAGATCACAGGCTTTGGAATAATACAGTAACCCATAAGAAGCCTCTGCCTCAGCTGTCTCACTCTCCCAGTGAGCACTGTACACTTTACATGTCGCTGATTTTACACATTTTGTTGTTTGTAATGTATCTGTACAAACTATTGTGTGTGTCGCCATAACAAGCGGTTTATAGGCTATTACACGCTGTTATCTTTGTGCAAAGACAAATTTATAATGTAGCCTCGGTCTTTCAGAGTCAAGGCTTTGTGAAAAGAACCTTTTGATTTTGCTCGGTGTGCAGTTGCTTTTCATAAACAAATTATATTGAAAATGTCACTTCTTTTTTTATTTTTTTTTTCTCTGAATCCAGAACACTGAACTGTGGCACCAGATCCGAAGCACTGAACACATCATGAATCACTTACAGTGGTACTATATGCAAGGTATTATTATTACAACTCATAGCTGGACAGCAACATTATCATTGAGAAGGAATAATTGGCATTATTGGCATTGTACGGGTTAAAAGATTACAATAATTATTCTTGTACAATCACTCCTGTCGAATTTTCCAAGGTAAGATAACATTTATGAATGTCTTTTATCATGAACCTTTTTGCAAGATTGGCCCATTTAAGAGTAATTTTTTTAAATATATATATAACATGCATAAAGAGCCAAAGAACAAATTAAGATCCTTAGCCAGAACTTTCCTGGAGCTTCTTAAGTCTTTGCTGAAGAAGGATTTAAACAACATGTTTATGGATAGTCTAAACTCATTGCTCACGTATTTGTATTTTAAGAACCTTTCTACAGTCTCTAACACACTGGCCAAATAAATACAGCACATAGTAAAAAAGAAAATAAAACTAATGTCTTGCCTTTCCGTCACAAATGGCTTGCTGGGAGATGCTGGGTCAAAGTATGTTTATTTTTAAGTGTCAAGAGTAAGTATGAAAAACAGCTCCTTCTCAAGGCACAGCAGTCTTAAGCCATGTCATTAATATGTGACCTGAAACGTTGATGCACTCTTTTTTTAACTCAGTGAGCGAGCCCTGTTGTCTCCTTTCATTATCTTGGCCCAAACTCTTCATTCCAAAACTTGACTTTGCTCTGTAAGCACCATTTTCCTGTCCAAGTCTTTCCCAGTCCAGCCTGGCTCAGTGTCACGTCCTGATACTGAATCTGAAAAGGTGTGCACTTTACAACCAATTTACTGCAGATTTGAAATCCTGGAAAGGATTATTTTAATATTTTTTCCTTCTGGTCTCTACTCCCTAATGGAGTTTTACAGGCAACAGGCAGGAATCAACATTGCTGGTTTAAAAATACCCTATTCATATTTAATGCCTCCAACTTAAAGAGGTATTTTAGCCAAACAGTGCACTTAATCCTTGTTTATAAAACTCCTGCAAGTGGTCTGTCTTGCGTAATTCTTATTCTTCTCTATTATAAATTTCAGTGTTTTTATTGTCATTCTGGTTTTGAGTGCAGAGCAGCTGTGGCTCCAGATGTTTTTGTTTCAGGTTTTGAATTATGTACGACTTTGTATAAATATGTTTCACATAGCGAGCTCAAACACACTGTTTCCCATGATATGTGTGGCTGTCTTTTAATCATGCTTTTAAAACGCAGCTTTATTACCATCTTCATCATTAATCAGTGTCTAAAAACATACAGGAATTACTTTTTATTTTCGTTACAGATATTTTGAATATTATATACAAAAGTACAGGTAAAAGTCTTGCATTTCTTCCATAAGAGGAAACATAGCTTAAATAAAAAGTAACACAAGATTTGGATAGACTAGACTTTTCAGTGTAGCCGAGTGGGCCCGAATTTAGGTGTTTGTAAATGTGCCATGCTGGCTTGAATGAGGCAGTGGCCTTAAACCAACAAAGGCAGAATGAGCAAATGTTCATGCAAGTCTTGACTTTAGCATGCATCGACCTTGATTGGTGAATCTGGGTCAGAGTTATAGAACAAATTGTTTTTCTGAGAATAACAGGTGACGTGGGTGGTAGCAAGTCCTTCCTTCTGTTTTGTCCTTGGGTGTTTATACATGTTTACATCCGCAGTATGTGGATTCAAGATGTACTAGGCTGAGGCGGCAGGAGGAGGTTAATGGGAGAGCCTGTGCTCCTGTAGAGATGAGAGCGTGGGCTTGTGGCGTCAATTTAGCGGGCTAACAGGAAGCGTGCTCTGGGACCTTCCACCAGGACTCAGGCGGGCAGCGAGTGGGGCACAGGTCGCTACACTGCACCACACCTCACTTTCTGCCTCGGAGCACTTCTGCACTGTTAGTGGTGCATGAGAACCCCCCCCCTCCCGGCGCACAGAGTATTAATCTCCATACTGTGAAGCCAAGCTTTATTTTAACATCACTTGCTAGAGGTAATTCTCTGATCACTCCAAAATGTCAGCTGCGATCAAGGAATATGGGGGCCATGAACTAAGGCCAGAACCGTATCCAATTGCAATCATTAATCAAGGCTAAAAATAGCAGTTTTGACGCTATATTGAAGCAGTGCAATCCAGGGTGAATCCTACAAATTATTGGATGAATTTCCACTCGCCGCATTAGAGGAAGCAAAACAAAGTTTTATTGCTGCCTTTCTGGTGGTGATATTTCACAGCTGAGAAAGGGCCAGTGTGCGCTGTGCCAAGGGCTGCTGCCGTGGGCAGCTACTCCATCATGTGAGCAGCTACTGTAAAGATCAGCAGAAGGATAATAGATTTTTTTAAATGCTTCCTTGTGTCCGTTCCCGGGTGAAAGGAGCCTCTTTTACCCCCGCAGCTTTTTCTGACTCCAATCACACAAATTTGATTAGAGCCGTTTGCCTAAGGAGCTGCTCTGGCTGTTGAGCTGCAGTGAGGCCCCTGTTTGCCCCGGAGAAAAGTTCTGACGTGCACAAGCAGTCTTTGAACTGGCCCCTTCTTTTCTTCCACTCTAACCTCAATTACCACACTATTTTACCTCCCCCCCACCCCTCATCTGTCTGTCTGTCTGTAGCTGCACACCAGTGGACTGCCTTTGGCTTCATCACGTCACAGCAAGTGAGATAAACGACTGTTATAAATTACCAAGGACCGCTGCTTTGGTGTCATCTAAGCTTAACCCCGGCACTGTGTAATGTTTTATACAATGCTTTGAGAGAAGGCAGTACATCTCCGTGGGAAAGGTGAACCTAAGAGACTTTGAGAAATTGAGTCACAGTCAAAATGCATCCATCTGTCATTCAGTATTGAATCATCCTCATCAATACTTTTTTCATTACCCTACCGTTATGAATGCAGGTGTACTGTATGTCTGGAAGCACTCAAGTTTGGTTTTGGCATAAAAGTGTGTGTGGAGAAAAAGTTAAGATCAACCAATCCCGTGACTTGTGGGGTTGGCTATTCACACCAAACATTGCAACAGAATTGGAAGGAAGCCTCTGGGCGGAGATTTGTCAGTGGCTGATTTTGCCGCAACCACAACCACAATTTCAAATAGTTGGCTCCAGACGTTTGTTCACAAAGTGACAGAATTATGTCTGACTCTGTGAGAATAGTCACAACCCCCATGTCAACAAGAGCAAGAGCACTACTGACAGACAAAGTAGTGTTGAGGTGATGGTGTGTGGAACAATATTACAATGCAGTTTTTTCTCTGTTTCTATCTATGAGACCTGTTATCATACCATTTTATTTTAATTAATATATATATATTCAAATAAGTGGAATCACAATTAAATTTTAATTTTAAGCTTGTTAAGTTATTGTGTAAGTGGGGAAAAAAAGTTGCCCAAAGTAAAAGCCCATTTGTACATAGACATGTGCTGCTTAATAATCAGTCCTAACATTACGGTTTTACAAAGGTCATCTTTGTCAGTTCTACCTTTTCTACAGATGCCTTGCAGCGTCAAATGACACACCAGGGCAACTGCCACTTTCATTATCCTGAGACTGTGTGAAAGTGCAGACTTAATTTTTTTTTTTTTTTTGAAGGAGCCGTTATAGAAAGGTGCTCTTGTTCATTTTAAAAGCACCTCAGTTTAGGTCTTGCAAAACACAGTGGCTTAATAAGTCATTCAATAAAGCTGTCCAGTTAACTTTTTATTGCCAGTCCAGACCTCAATGGCGGTTGATTTTTGTGACTCACAACTCAAGAAACAAATGCAGGTTGCAGATTTTAGTCACTTTTGTTTTCCAGTTAAGTGAAGACTACTTATACCATCAACCTCCTAGTCATTTTGTTAAAGGAAGTTTTGCTGCAAGTGATTTGGTTTGTTGTGGCTGAACCTGAGAGTTATGTCTACCAGCCAAGGTCTTCATGGGTATCTGTTGTTGGAGATTATGTCAACCCGTTCCTTAGGGCTAAAAGAAGCCCTCAGGTGACTGGTGTTGCCCTAATTCATCCAAGGCTCAGCAAATTATGGCTCTAAAGAATCTGTAGCTGTACTGAAAAGCGGGCTAGCATTTAGTTTCTCTACAAACAAGCCACTTTAATATCCTGTTCAAGGTGAAAATGATGTGCCATTATTTCACCTCACTGTTCTCTGTAAAATGAACGAACACGGAATAGGGTGGGGACGGGGAGAGGTCATTGTCATTCTGCCTTTAAACCGGCAGCGGAGGTAGTAACAGTGCTGAATCGACATCTGTGTAAAATGGCGGTGCCGGCAGGACGGGTCACACTAGACACCGACACTGTTTTGTTACACTTCACGCCTCTCTTGCTGCTGGAATGCTGGCATGCTTCTTCTTGAATCTTCGTTTTCTCCAGTGTAAAAAAACAAAGCAAGTAATTCAGTTCACCTGCTCCCATTGACCTGTTCTATGTCTGGTTTGGTTGCTCAGGGAATCTCAGAGTCTCACTGATGGGGTCTAACTTAGGGTGGAATTTCAACCCAAGGTTGTGTTTCTTAAACTGAAATAATTAATCCAGATAAACATGTAGAAACAATAACAAGGATTTACATGTGTGTAAAATATGTCAAAGCTATGTTTCTATCAAATATAATAAGTATAATCAGCATCTACTGGTATTGCCTCCAGAAATCTTTAGATTTGCTTTGTTGTCGTGATAGATCTGCTCTGTTCTGGATGAGATAAATAAGAGCTTAAAAGCATGTTTAAATGTAGCTTTTCCCCTTCAAATGGATATCATCTAAAGGGGGGGTGGCAAGACAGTTTGCTGATGGAGCAGATATGCTCAGGAGCAGGTTGGATGCTTTCTGTGCTGATGATCGGGATCAGAGAGGAATGTGGCGCTCTGAAGAGAAATGTTTGATTATCAGCTGATGGGTCCTGAAGTGTCTTGTAGCTCCTCACAGAGAGCTCACTGAAATGATGAAAAAAGGTAGAGTTGTTTCAGGCCCTCGTTAGAGTGGTAATTGTTGGTGTAGACAGTGCATGGGATAAGCTCTCTTTAGGGATAATCAAACATTAGAGGATCATTAACTGTCATACTTGATGCCTTTCATTTATAGGAAAACAGCACATAACACAAACTGTTGTTGAATGTGTTAGACACACTTGCAGAAGGCATTGACATTGTGATGATTAACTAACGATTCTTTTCAATACTGACTCATTTCTGAATTTTGCAATTAATCATTTAGTCAAATAACATAATAGAAAATAGAGAAAAATGCCCATCACAAGTTCCCTGAACTCAAGGGGAGTTCTTCAAAATGATTTAATGTACTGTATTCTTATAGTCATTTTATTAATACTCAGTTTCATAATTCATCGTTCATTCAAAGTTAAGACTTCTGTCCCACACATAATAGCATGTTGAGGACAGAGAAAATAAAATAGACATCTCGAGGACATGTGGGCAAACATTTCATGAACACACTTGAGTCTTCAGGGCCGTTGTAGAGGGGAGGCGTTGTAGAACTTGGTCTGTCTTACACAGGTTTTCTTTTCCTCATGTGGAACTTTGAAGCATGCTGTAGAATACCGCTGAAGGTGAATGGTATTCAGGATTGATGGCTCCTCTTCTGCTCTGTCCTTCTGCACGCTGTACCCGGACCTTATCCCCTGGAGTCCCACGTGGGAAAGGCTTTTTTTTTTTTATTGCACCTGGGAGATGCATTAAGGGCCCAATGAACTTTGACCTTGGGCTTGATCACCCTGGCAACACAGGACACGAACAATCGTTACGCTTTAAAGAGGGCTCGGCTGCAATTCCTTAAACTCTCATAAATGCTTGAATGTATTCCATTCAAAAGACTTGAGTTTCCGGGGTTGTGTAAAGTCTGGAAGCACTTCCACTGATGTATCTGTGATAAATGAGAATCATCCGTTAATTAAAAATACTTCAGCTGCTGCTCTTATCAGTGAGTTTTGATATAATGGCAAATGTACATACCTTTGTTTCATTAGAACCTTGTCATCAAGCCTTTCTTTTATTAGCCTTATATCAATAAAAACCTCTCTTTCATTAGCGGAACATCTCAAAGGCTTGCCTTCATTAGCACAAGGTTGCAAATGCTTGATGCAATTTCATTAGCAGACCATCTTTAATGAGGAAACCCCCAGCGTGTTTACATTGCTCTGATCCCCCATGATCGCTGGTAAGGATAATGCTGATTGGCTGCTAGCGGGTGGAATGTTTGAACTTGTCCCCCGAAGATTGGATCATACATTTATTAAAGCCAATGAGCTCCTTGCTGCTTAGACGTGAAGAGAGCAAGATCAAACATTTCTGTAATGAAGGTCCTTCTAAAATATATGGGCCAGGACACATTGATGCAGCGTGATTTAATGACAAGACATGCACCAAACTTAGCACTCATGACAGCAGATCCTGAACCTGCACATACACGTCCGAGCTACTGCCACACTTTCATCATTTCCTTCAAGGCCTGAAGAGTAAAGCCCTTCACTGAAAATGATTCATGATGCCAACAGGAATGAGACATGTACGTGCTTCACAAATCCATAGTTTTTCAAATGTTTTTACAACTGCCATATAACTGAATGTTTGATCCATTCTGTATTTATTTGATTTCTCTTTGGTCAAAACTTTGATGACCAAAGTTTTACGTAATGTATAGATCTGTGTATTTATATTGAAAGGAGCAAAGGATAAGTATTCTTTTTCAGGGATCTTGTTCAGGGTCAGAGTCAATTCTTCCATTTTCTAGCTCTGTGTGTAAAATTCCAAGTGCTTGAACACCATTCTTTAGCATTACTCTGTCCCGTGGGAACATTATTCTAGGGGATGGCTTGCAGTGTTGCGCTGTTTTTTAGGGGTGGGGAGGGCCTGCTGTCTGCTTAGTTTACTCCTGATTTTGGAAAAGACCAACTTGACTAGGAGTCAGGGCTCATATGTTGATACCTTAATGTTCAGTGACATTGCTCAGAGCTCTACACCATGTGTCATTGTTTGCCCTTCAACCCCTTTGCACAACCAGGAATGTGCTGTTTTCCTGGAGAATTTAGTCATTTGGCAAAGATGGGGAGAATGTGGCTGATTGTATTTGATGGAGCAAGACATTTTAGAATTAAAATTTTATAAGCTTCTTCCAAGATTATTTTTTCTCCTCCATCCATGAGAACTGTACTGTACATTTCCTTCTGCATTGAGACACTCAAGTAGGGGAAGTACTTTGGTAGAAAGCAGTTCACAGTGAAAGTATACAACTCTTTTGCTATTGAGTTTTTCTTCTTGTAAATTCTCAGTGCTTTGATGGTAACAAATATCATTTGTATGCATGATGCAATATTTAACCTAAGCATCAACATCCTCATCGCAAGCTCTTGTATTTGTGTTGGTTAAAGACAGATATCTCCAAATGTTGCAAAATCACACTGAAATTATTGAGAAATTAATCACACACACACACACACACACACACACACACACACACACACAAGCTGTTATTAGTTAGATTCACCAACATAAATTGTCTTCACATTCTACTCAAGCCCTTCCAACATGCCTTTACTCTTAACGATACCCATGAAACTGTGTTTTGGAGTCACTGCTCTTGTTTTCAGACATTTTCCAACATCTCACTACAACAATAGCGTTATTGTGCTGAGCAAACAATGAGATCAAGTGCACGAGGAGAAACATGTTTACTTCTAGTTTAATGAGACAGTCAAAATGCCCTCCTCGTCTGTTTTATTTAATTCACAGTATGCAGGATGATCTCAGTCTGTCTGTGTTTGCCCTTGCTGGTCCAGACTTGCTTCATCCGTAATACCAATCAAAGCTTTGAAGAATGCATCGGATGCAAGACCCCCCTTCCTCACATATCCACATAACTGCACAAGCGCATGCACATGGCACACGCTCACACTTGCATACCCTTATAAGCACAAAGCATCAAGCATCCCAGACAGCTTATCATGGGGAACTAATTCAATATCCCTTTGCCTGTTTTAAATGTCATTCTCTGAGCTCATCCGGAGTGACATGTTTTTCATGGTGGCAATAAAGGCGCTTTATTGGGCGCAGAACACAGTGACGGGGGTGTGGGGGGCTCTTGATGCTCGCTGGAAATCTAAAGGTCCTCATGAGGAATGAATAAAGTCTGGATTTGCTGAGGTCTGCCGATGCCAATGAGATCTGCATGAGCTACCCAGTCGATAAAGACAGAGCGAAGCCTCCTTCGACAGAGAGAAGTTCACACAGAAGTTTCCACTTTGATTAGAGGCTGCACTGTCAATCATGAAATGAAATGCCACTCATATGCCACTTAGAGACTACTGTATTTAAGGGATTTTTAGGTAATTTCAAAAGGTCATTAGGGTTTGGGTTTGTGCTACAAGGTCAGAGTTTGGCAGGTATCTGTAAGTTATTGTTTGATTTATGGATCTGGCTCCAACTTTCTCTTGTATCTACTCTCCTCCAGGTTTGAATATTAGAGAACAGTAATTCAACAAAAAATTCTGCAAAATATTTATATTTTTGGCAATCTACTCTACTGTAGGTTTATTTGTTGCTCTTCCTCTTTTCTGGATAATGTCGGTGATGGGTGAATGCTGGTCCGGAGGAGGGGCAGCATACTCAGTTGCTTCATTGTGCCAGATAATGACTTCCCTATTGAAAATGACCTCCTTGACCCAGAGACAGACAGTAAGACGGCTTCGTCCAGACCCTCGAGGCACCTCGGCCTAATCTGGCATTTTGCCCACACCGAGCTGCTAACCCCGGCCCCAAAAGCTTTTTTTGCCTTCCTCCAGGCCAGCCTCACCCAGTATTCTGCAGGCTCCGTCTGGTGTGGTGCCACTGGTGAGGAGGTTAGAGTGAGGGCCAGCCAGCCACAGAGCTGTAAATGTGAGAGGTTGGCTGGGTCCGTTAGTGGCACGGTGCTGGTGGGAATACATTTTTTTGACTCATTCAGTCTTCACCTCATGAGCCTGAAACAAAGAGCCCATAAAAGAAAAATCTCAATTTTGGTATTTGTCTTTTTCAGCGGGAGTCAGCTTTTGTTATACCATTGTTGTGTACTCAGAAGAGTCCAGTTTATCTACTAAAAGCTATTTCTTTTTATTCTATTTCTTCTTTATGCTTTCTTTCTGTTTCTTATTTTTCTGCGTCTCTTTCATTGCAGGGTTCCTGAAGCCCCAGTGCTCGTTGGCTCCGCCCATGCAGCGAGGTCGCTCAGGAGAGGCTTGTTCCTGTTTCAGTGGCATGTGTCCCCTCCACCAGCGTCGCCTATCTTCAGGTAACACTGACTGCAAACAAACAGTTCTGTTGTGACATGGGTACTTGTCTGTTCTTGGATAAAATGTAGGGAAATGCACTTCAGTGAACTGCCAGATGAGAAATCCAACTGTTGTTATGGACTATTCTTATCAAAGTTGCGGCTCATCAGTTGCAGGTTAGAAAAGAAAAATGAGGAGCCTGTTATTTTTATAGTGTGCCTCATGACCTGATGCACATTGAAATTGTCTAATCATCCAAAATAGCATCTCATCTCATTTAATTGAATCTGCTTTCAAGACATCAAAGGCAGATCAAAATAATATTTTTTGAGAGACCAGTATGTAGTTCTAATAATGATCTAAATTGAACCTGATACAACTAAAGCTCTATTTTTGTGCGTTCTGTCTTTAACAAAATTAACAATATTATCTTTATTGAAAAACCCTTTCTGACCACATAGAAAGGCTTTTATTAAGATCTGATTGGAGTTTCGATGATAATTAGTTTTAACTGGTTTTGTCATATGTAGGGAAGGATTGCTTGTTTCTGCCGCTCAAACACACATACACACAACACCGCCTCCGGTCAGAGGTATGGCTGTGGGGCCTTTTTGGAGGCAGCGTTCAGTCTGGTTTTTATGCTTAATGGTGTCTTTTCATGTGGCGCCCCAGTGATGGACAAGTTAACAGAGGCGCTCTTAGCTCGGCCCCATGCCGCCTCCCTAAACTGACTGGTATGTTGCCAATGAATAGGGGACATAGAAGTGCAGAAGATAGGGTTAATGCTGATACATTCATCACTCCATCCTCAGGGCTTGCTCCTTCCGCAGTGTCAATGCTGTCATGTGAGGAAAGCATGACTCGTTTGGCTAGACAAAATCACATAAACATATAAACAGCTCCACAAGAGCAACTGTTTGACTTTAAAGTTAGATACTTTTGAATTTCTATCCTTGAATTACACGCTCATGGTACATGGAAGAAGTGGAAGTACGTCCTGGCTTATGTAATGTTCAGAGTTCTGAAAAGATGTCTTGAAGCAAAGCTTTACATATAGAATATCTTCCCATGCCTATTTTGTTTTGTTTTGAATACAGACATTCCCTAATAGAAACCAAGTGCTTTTTCTCTTTTGTCTTGTTTTGAATCAGCTCAATGTTTTGGGTCTTTGTTCCATTTTGCGCTGCTCTACAAAATAATCAGACTCCGGTTTGCTTGATTTAATTGTAGTGGTTCATTAAATAGGTAAATAGAAACAAAGATGAGTAGTTGCTCTGTATATTCAACTGTAGATCAAAAATGTGTCGGGTGCTTTTGGAAAACGGGGGAACAACAGGATAAACTGCAAGCCAACCCAGGAACGAGTAAGGACATATTAAAAAAAACCTTTACTTTAAGGTACAAGTAAATATTATTAAATCAGTCAGTCCAAACCAGGACAAGTTAGGGAAAACACTTTAATGTTAAAATTCAAGAAAAGGTATTAAAATACTTACGTTCTTTAAGCAAAGATGTTCCTGTTCCTCTTTAGGACTGCTAACACCACCAAGTTCTAGATAGCTAGTCAGTATAGTCAAGTATGAATTTGATAAGCAAAGAGAGAATCCAGTTTCTTTCTTATTAGTCTGCGTCAAATCTGCCTGGAGGTCTTCCATAATTGAAAGCATTCCATTAGATCTGCCAGTAAGGCATTTAAAAATTATACTATCAAATTTACCAATATGATTATACTTATCAAAACCATGTATACAGATATTTCTTAATTTCTTTATAATTTTTGTTATTATAGTGAAAGCTTTGCCCTCTAGAGCCAGCTACATGGTCGTCCTTAATAACTTCAAAAGAAGTCATTCTTTAAAATAGGAATGGAAATGTGAATGGATAGTGTAATGTTACATCATATTTTATTCCCCGACAGTGTAAGCAGCTGTGGTTAATGTTGCCTGGTTGTTACATGGACCGTTTTGTAGCTGAAAAGTGAAAGTCCACAACAGGACACTGAAATCAGAAGAGACATCTTGACACTGTGTTTGTCTAATGTTAATCTCATGAAGAAACGGTTCTGTCTCACTGTGTTTTTTGTCCTCTTAAAAGCAAATGGACAACGTAAATCCAGTTATCTTATTTTTAAGATCAAGGATTCTTTAATTGTCTCGGTGGAGGCAAGATGAGAACCCACTACCCTCTCTTTCACAGGCAAATACTTTTTCATGGACAAGTTTCAGCATGATCGGTGAGGTGCAAAGTTTTTCCACCAACCTCACCCCCATCTTTGTGTATTTTACAGCGCTATCTTGATTGATTGCAACATTTTTTACTGTCACAGCCTGCAGTATGGGTGGACGTGTTTCCTGAACAATTAGGAGCATCTGGATTAGAAGTGTAGCCTTGCTGAAATATGTCAAAGGTTTTCCTTCTTTGTGTTGTGGCTATTTTAAGACCTGTAGCACACTAGGATACGAGTCACATTAGATTATTTTGTCTGCGTCAGATTCAGGGGCAAATGGAGTGGAGAGGAGGAGGGAAAAAGGTGGATTGTACTATTTTTTGTGTTGTTGCTTTTTCACTACAGGAGATGTTAAACCACTTCAGTGGTGTGTTAAATGCTCCCTGAGCAGCCAAGAGCAGAGTGTACTTCTAGAAAAAGTGAAGTAAGTGTTAAGTCATCGCAGCAGAGGTTGGATAGCCGCTCTGGAGTCTAAAGTTTATAGACCCTATAATAATCATGGCTCTAATTATGGAACGTGTTACTATAAATCCACCAGATCGTGTGATTGTCCTCCAATCTCAACGTTCCAGCCGCCCGACTACGGCCACAATGACAAGCTGCTGTGGGAGGTGCGAGGCATATAGCAGTGACCAAGCAGGAGCTTTCTGGGAAGGTTTGCGAGCCTCACCCGGGGAGCCGTATTCAGCAGCGATCTGCTGAACTCCAGGCCGCACACTGATGTGGCCAGGCTCCGGTTTCAGTGGTTTCACATTGTTTGGGCTTTTCAAAAACAAACTCTTACTGGAAAGGCACTGTGAGAACGGGACTGTGAGAAACGTAGTGTTCGGGACCTCGCATTTCCACAGGACCATTTAAAAAAATGTGTTGGGTTTTTTTTTTGAGAAAAAGGAGTCATGATGGGAAAAACATTTTTATTTTCTTTTTTTGGAATTGTGGTGTATGAGGTGGGAGAGAGGGAACACATAAAAGAGAGACAGCATTGAGAACAGGGCTTTTTGAAAAGGCCCTCACAATGCAGGCCTTGTGCTGTGATTTGGTCTGTCCTCACCGAGCTGAGCAGAGGAATGGAAAAGATTATCCGCAGGAATGTCTGGGGTGCCCTCAAACGGAGCGGGCCGCGTGACTGGCCAATGGGAGCGAGGCCTGCAGAGCGGCGGGCTAATTTTTTCCTGATGAACTCAGCCGCCTGCTCCACAATGTACTCTGATTGCCAAAGCTGAACCCACATATGGTCCGTGTTTGGAGGGTCCAAATGGCAGGACCAATTCTGCCTGGAGAGGAAAGGGGGTGGGAGTTTGGACGTAGATAATTATTACTGGCTCCCCCCTCTTTTTTTTTATTTCCTTAGCTTTGGCTGTGGCTGAGTGGTGTGCCAGAAATACACCAACATCATCTGTCTGTCCCCCTTAGTTTCTCACTACCTGTTGAGATTTACCTACCAGGTGTGCTGTTAACTTTTGATTCATCACTCTTTATTGATGGTGTTTTGTTTAAATAACCAGCAATTATGGCCAAAGCCAAAGAAAATTAGTGTTCACGGCAGTCCCACTTCATTACAGTGCCTGAGAATTATCTCTCTGACTCATAAATCCTGCCAATTAATTTGGAGCCCATTTACTATTCAGAGTACTTGGAAAGAGGCTCCATTGCCTCTCCACCTAGAACCAGGCCAGAGTAAACTACAGGGAAATGCAAGTGACACAGCTCCAGCCCCATGCAAGGAATGTGTGTGTTTCTGTGTGGTGCTTTTTAGCATCAGTGGAGCAGTAAAGAGGCATGTGGTGGGCCTCTGGAGAGAGGTAGCATTTGTTTGTAGACCTTGTGGTCACACAGCAGGATTCGAGACTAGAGGTTGGGGTGGGGAGACGAATGGGGCTAAATAGAGAGGTTAGGGGGTGTTTGGAAGGCGTGGAGTTAAAGTGGCTCCCGGCTCCTCATATTTCCCATCGCGGGGTCCTGCAGAGGTGAGCAGGGTCACAGAGAGGGAGCTCGTTAGCCTGTGTGTTCTCCGTGCTCCATGTGCTCTAATTGGCTGGCCAGAATCAGTGCTCTCGCTGGCTGCTTCCTGTTAGGTCAGGAGCCTGAGAGGCCGGAGGACGCCAAGCTGCTGATTATGGGCCCTGGCCTCCATTCATTCAGGACACACACACTACAGGTTATTTTTAATACACAAACTCCAGCTATCCAGACTCATCTTAAGCAGAAGCCAGCTACACTCTGCCTTTTCTTAATGGTGGAGGGGTTCCTTTAGGCCAGAAGCCTGGGGTTTGTCATAACTGGGATAAGAACTGCCAAACTGCTCAGTTAATTGGCTGTTTTAATTTATATTAAGCTTATCGGATACTGTGAGATATATTTTTGCTGGCTCCCTAGATACACAAACTCCTCATGCAGCTTGTATAAAAAATGCTTTTAGGTCCCTGATATTTATACATTTGTTCTAAAAACGAAAGAGGTTGGGAAGCAGGAATTTAATCCAATGAATTGATATTACCGGGAGGAGGATTTTAATGCCTGTCCTGGCGCCCTAAACGTAAACATGAGAACAATCATAAATCTGCCACCTAATTAATAAAATTTAATTTCTCAACTTATTAACAAAACTTCACAGCTGTTGTCAGATGTTAATTTAAAAAAAAAATCACATACATGTGTAAGAAATAACAAATTTAATATAATGTAAACCAAAAGGCCAGAACATTTTTGATTATATATTTTGGCCAACAGCTGTGAACATAGATGACACATCATTACGTAAAGTTGATATGGTGAACATGTTAGTAAACAGTT